GTCACCCGTAATTAGTTTCGTCACCCGTAATTAATTACGTAATTACGTTTTTAAAGAGTGAAAGTGGTAATTAATTAAGTTAATTATGAATTACGTATTTATGGTAATTAGCTAATTACCATATCATCTCAGGAACTTAGAAAATGTTGTTCCATTTGTTTTCAAATATATAAATATGAATGTTCATAATTATTAGTCAAATATTCAAAAATAACAAAAAAAATTTTCATCCACAATAATATTTTACATTATTAAATTTATATCAAAAGTAAGGTTGTGGGTGAAACTCCTACAGAAATCAATCAACAGAGTTTAGACAGGTTACACATTAATTGTTTATTAGAGTTTGGCAGAGTTTCACATTTGGGGGTTTTGTCAATTGCCAGAGTTTTGACTAATTGTTCATTAGAGTTTCAATAGAGTTTCGACAGTCAATAAGAGCACATTTGCAATTTTTATTGATCTTTATTTGCTTTATAATTTTACCAATCAGTTCTGGTGGTAATTCAAACACTGGAGCATTAAAATCTACATACTTGATTTCTTCTCTGACCCCTACTATATCTCCAGCCTCAAACAGGCCTTTGCTGTCATCTAGATTAGCAAGTGCTTTGACTATATAGTTAAGAGTTTGGGTAATATATGATAACATTTTTGTTTTATTTTATATAGATTGCAGGAATCTTTAATTTGAAAAATTTTATTAATTATTAGTTTTCTTATTTTGGTATCAATTGCTCCACTTTGCTTTGCAGATTGTTTTCTCTTTGTCCTCTGCCTATTTGTTAACTGGAATTTTGTTTGGTTCTTTGACTACCTGATTCATGTCCCTTGTTAACTATTATTATTTCTAGTTTCATTAACTGACATGTCATGCATGTCAACTTGCTTCCCTGTTAAATATCATTATTTCTAGTTTTGTTAACCAAGATGCTACACATGTCAGCTTGCTTCGCTCACTTGCCTGTTAACTAATTTGATTTCAGGTATTTGGTTTATAAATACTATGATGAATTTTTGTTTCTTTGATGTGGCCTGAAACATGAATTACACCACATTTCTATGTGGCTAGAAACAAAAATAGTATACTTGTGAGACAGAACATGATTATATCAAAACTGATATGAAATAGGTCTCTGGAACACCTTGTGAACATAAACTGGATAAAAAATGATAAATTGTCTCAGAAAAATCGAGTTTTGTCCCAGGAACCTCAATTTTATACATGATAAATAGCTACAGCTGCTGCAGATTTTATTCTACACATAATTTCATTGTAAATGAATGGCTGACTAATTGAATTCATCAATTAATTCAAAAAATTCAGTTACTGCAGATCACAAAGAAAATTTTTGCATGACTAATATGACTAATAATACTATGACAGTGATTGAAAACTATTCACAGCAGTTGTACTTATTTGGAGTAGTTATATCTATTTGCAGCAATCATAGCTATTTACAGCAGCCATATCTATTTATGGCAACTACTCTATTTGCAGCAGCCATATCTATTTGCAACAGTTGTAATTATTTACAGCAAATGGTAGCTACCAACAGCTATTTATAGCAATGGTAGTTACCAGTCCAATCATTTACAGCAAGTGTCTTTAGTTTATATTATACATGCAACCCAAAGTATTTTGACAGTCACAAAGGGGTTACACATGTCATAAAGGAGTGTTGCACTTATGTTTTTAATAGTGAGTGCTGTAATTAATTTCATCAAACCAATTTGGGCTGCACTTATAGTCTATTCCCATCTACAACACTGCATTAATAATTTTTCTTCAAAAAAAATAGATCTATGGTAAATGGTCTGGTGGTGTACAATCAAAAAAGAATTGTTATGCTATTATTAAATTATATGTTAATAAATAAAAATTTGTTAAAAGTAGAAATTATTTCAAATCAATGTTTTTCTTTTATTTCTCTTTAATTGTTTTTATTAAGGTTTCTGGCCCAAACTGTTTTCTCAAAGCCCAAACTAGTTTGTGCAATTTGGGCTTCTCAGCATTTTTTTATAAAAATGAATATTAAAAAACTATATCAATCAACTTATTTTAACTTAAACAACTTTAAAGTAATTTCACCCAATTTTGGCTAATAACAAAAAATAGTTTGGGCTTATAAAAAATCAATTTTTGCCCAAAGTGTTTGGCAATTTCAGCTATTAATAAAGAGAGTTTCAGCCAGAAACCTTAGTTTTTTATAAATGATAATATTTTTTATTAATAAATACCAATACATTTTGTTAAATCTATTAATGGGACATGGGATATGGGGTGGTTCCAAGTAAATTGTTAATTCTAGAGCTATTTTTTCCTTATAAGCTACTAATCAAATTGTTTACAGTAATGATTCAATATGAGTTACTTGTTGTAGATAAGTAACAAAATTTTTTGAGTATCCAGAATCTTCAGAATTTATAGGAATTTTGAAACCTCAATTTGGACCAATCTCAAATAACAAAATTGCTATTTTTGGAGATGATTTCTGGTGAGAAACTATTAATGGAATTTATTTATATCAATTTTAAAGGTATTACTTATTATAGTTAAGCAGTTAAATTTTTCTATAATTAGCAATTTACTTGGAGCTAATCTGGAAACACCCCATCCCTAGATGGGATTGAAGGGGGATGGGATTTTAAGGATTTGAGTACAGGCAGCAAGTGATCTTAGTTACAATCCTCATGTTACAGATTTATATTATCTAAAAATCAACTTCAGTCAATACCTGGTTTTTGCTAAAAATCCCCCATATAAAAGGCTGGAAATAAATAAACAATTATAAGGTTTTATAATCCAATCTGTTGACAATCTAGGGAGGATATTAAATACTTACCTCATTAAAAAATTCACCAGAATGCAAGCTGGACATTCTTTAATTCTTTTGTTTGATTGACTTTTCATTTTATTTACTATATTAAATTAGGAGTGTGTGGATATCATTTTATAGGTATAAATGTAGTCCAAATTGGTTTGGTAATTTTGATGGTAGAAAGTAGAAATTAATTACAGCACTAACAAACATAGGTGTAATGCCCCTTTACAACATGTGTGGCCCCTTTTATGACAGTGTCAAAATACTTTGGCTAAATTCCAAGAATAAAACAATTAAAAAACACGTGATTTTAGTGAAAAATCATTGTTCATTTCAGTGATTGGAGACTTTTCAAAAAACATTGAGAATTTTATGAGTAAGAAACCCATGTAACATTTTTACTATTGGGAATAATTAATTTAATATCATTTATTTTTTCAATTTGTTAGTTATTGCAACAGCAGCTTTAGATCCATTTGGTCTATTCAAGTATTCAGAAATGTAATTACCAACATCAACTAATTTGTTTAAATCAACACCAGTTATATATCCCATTCCTCCAAGCATGTACACTACATCTTCAGTAGCAACATTACCTGTTGCTCCTTTAGCAAAAGGACAACCACCTTTATGTGGAATGAAATTAATAAAAAGAAGAAACTAGTTTAATTGAAATTTTTTTAAAAAAAATAATAATGATTTTACCTAATCCTGCAGCAGAACTATCAATGATCCTTACACCATTCTAATTTTGTTTATAAAACTCAAAAATTGTTTGAGTGATTTTTTTAAAAATAAAAAAACTCTTAAAACTTTAAAACCAAACAAACCTCTATAGCACAACATATATTAGCAAGGGCTTGACCATAAGTATCATGACAATGTACTGCAATTTTTCCAATTGGTACATGATGTTTTACAATTTCCAACAGTTTTAACATTGAACCTTTTTTAAACATTAAATGAATAAGGTGAATAAATAGATCTTTGGAAATCAGCATAATAGATATATGTTGTAAGTTAATTTACCAGGAGTTCCAACACCTATTGTATCTGCTAATGATATTTCGTAACACCCCATTTTATAAAATTTTTCAGCAATCTTTGCTACAGTCAAAGGTAACACTTCACCTTCATAAGGACATCCTAAAGCACAAGAAATATAACTAACACATATGTATATAGATATATATAATTGATTAATTTTATGAATTTAAACACAAAAATCATTGATAAATAGTTAAATAAATACCCTCTAACCACAATTCCTTCTGCATTAGCCTGATTAACCACATCATTATAACTTTCTAGACTTTCTTTAATTGAGCAATTAATATTTTTTTTAGAAAAAGTTTCTGATGCAGCACTAAATACTGCAACATTGTTAACGCCAGCAGCAATTGCATTTTTAAATCCATAAAGATTAGGTGTTAAAGCAACATATTCTACACCAGGTTCACGTTTAATTTTTGTCATTATTTCATATGCATCACCCATCTATATAATTGAATCATGATTAATGATGCATGTGATTAATTTTGATCCGAAAGGGAATTTATCAAAATCAATAATGATAAACAATGAGAATTACAATGGTTATAATACCTGTGGTACCCATTTTTTTGATACAAAAGAGGTAGCCTCTATTGCTTTAAGACCAGTTTTAGATAATTGATTGATGAAATTTATTTTTATATCTTCTGGTATGATTTGCTTTTCATTCTGTAGTCCATCTCGAGGACCAACCTCCACTATTTTAACCTTATCTGGACCAGTATGTGGGCCCCATTCCTAATTTTATTCCAATAAAGAAACAAACAATTATTTACACATGTTTGTTTGATTGATTAATGATAACAGTAATGTTTTATGATTTATTGATGGGTATACTTGGCTATATTTTGAATATTTTGATTGTAAAGATCGTGTAGTAGTAGTAAAGGAATTGAATTTGAGTTTCGCATTTGGTAAAAAAAAGGTTTTGGTTAAGGATTGTCTAACAATTTTATTTAAAATCATTGAAAAGTTTTTTTGATGAATGCCACGTGAGACAAAAATTTTTGATGATTAGAGTCCCTGCACAAGCACAAAACTGCAATTAATTATTATTACCCTTGAAATAATGTAATAAATACGTGGCTTTATATCCAACATATTGTTTTGAAAATTATTAAATTATTTAAATTTCAAAATCTTACATATAATTTTTTTATTAAAATATAAATAAAAAATAACGCTAGATGGAAAGCAATTTATTGATTGCATATGCTGCTTTAGGCACCATGGCAGTTGTGCCGATTTACTATGGATCATTTGCTTCAGTAAAATGGCCTAAAAAGGTTGAAATGATAAAAGTGATTTTTCCGAGAATTTTTAGCTTTGTCTTGATTTACTTTACTTACTGGTTATTATAAATATTTACATAAATATAGAAAAAAACTGAATGTGCCAAGTTTGATCATGAGGCAGAATCTTCTGATGAAGAGGATTCTTCAACCGAATCTTTATCAACGGAAGATGCTTATCTTTTTCCAATAATTGGATCCGTGGTGCTCTTTTCATTATACCTAGTTTTTAAATTATTGAACAAGGATTATGTGAATTATCTTGTTACCGGATACTTTGCCTTTTTAGGCGTTATCGCTGTAACAAATGTTGGCGTGTATATTGTTAAGAACGTAATTGGACTTAAAGTTGACTCTTATAAAATTAGATTAACCAAAAAAGCTGAAGGTATATATATATATATTGATAATCGATCAATTGGATCAAGCCATTGCTTTATTATTATTAGTTTTATTAATTGATTTACAAATGTTTTATCTAATTAATCATTATAACTAACCATTGTATATTATTTTCCGAAATGATAATAATGATGATGATAGAAAAATATCATGTAAATTTTACAATTATTCACATAATAATGTTTATTTTTGCATTATTATTAACTGGAGCCTACGTGATGACAAAAAATTGGATCGTTTCAAATATTTTTGGTTTAGCATTTGCATTCAATGCAATCCAAATGCTTTCGTTGGATTCATTTAAAACTGGAATGATCTTGTTGAGTGGATTGTTTTTCTATGATATATTTTGGGTATTCGGTACTGAGGTGATGATTACTGTAGCTAAAAGTTTTGATGCGCCAATTAAAGTAGTTTGGCCTAAACAATTGCTTGGATTACAACCAGGTGAAGCTTTACAATTTACCATGTTAGGGTTAGGAGATATTGTCATTCCTGGTAATTTATCAAAAAAAAAAAATAATTTTGTTTATTTAATTTATTTATTTTATAATGATTTATTTGTTAATTTACATCATTGATTTTAATTTTTTTTTTTTAATAAAGGAATTTATGTTGCACTTTGTCTTCGATTTGATCATAATCTACATTTAAAACGTAATCCCACAGCTAAAAAATATTCCAAATTTTCAACACCGTATTTCAACAGTTGTTTTACTTCTTATATCTTGGGCCTTATAACCACCATTGTAGTTATGCATACTTTCAAAGCAGCACAACCTGCTTTGCTTTACCTTTCACCAGCTTGTATAATTTCGGTGCTTGTAACAGGATTATTTAAAAGTCAAATACGCGAGATTTTTACCTATTCGACTGACGATCCTGAAAAGAAAGACAAAAAAAAGGATGACGATGTAGATGCTGATGGTGATAAGAAAGGACAAGTACATAGCGAAGATGATGATGGTGATAATGAGGCGGTGGAGAATGAACAACAACAAACAGTCAGAAAACGCACTAGTGATAAAAAAATTAGTAATAGTGAAGACGATGATGATGATACAACCAACAACATTATATCTAGAACCAACGTTATCACTACTACCGAAATAAAAGTTGAAGATGATTCGATAGTGGAAGAAGTTCTTTCGTTAAAAAAGAAAAAAAGTAAGAAAAGCAAGTCAAAGAAATAAAAATGTGCGATAGATTTTTGTGAATAAATTAAAAATCAAAAATTTTTATTGTTTTTATATTTATGTATGATTCTTATTTTTTTAAGCAATAATAAATCGAAAACCAAAAATAAAAAAATAGATTTTAGATTTATTCTTGAATAAAATATATAAAATAGCATTTTAAATTTTTTTTCTTTTATTTCTATTTTTACAAATAATCATTATAACAATATACAACGACAATAAATAAATATATTAATATGTAAAAATAAACAATGTTTTAATTTAAATACTAATAATAATAAAATAATAAAAATTACATATATATAGTGTAAAAATTTTCAAAGAAAACCATTTGACCAAATACAAACTATTCTTTCTTTATCAGCACTATAAACTTGCCCACCCAATGGGTTCCATGATACACCATACACTGGCACTCTTTATATTTAATAGATCTTTATTAGCATTGTTATAAGAGGCAAAAAAAGAAATGGCAATTAAAAACAATAAAAAATTCTTACATATGCTCCTTTATATTTTGTTCTAATTGTGATTTATAAGTGTTCCAATAAAATATTCCTCCATCTAAGAATAAAATAAGTTATTTTAAATAAATAAAAGTAAAATAAGATAATTTGTTTTAGAAAAAAATTTTTTTTTACCTATTGATCCAGCTACTATATATTTTCCATCGGGACTATTTATTTATTAAAAATTCGAGACGGTTAATATAAAGATAATTTTACTAATATAAATAAATATCTATCTCAATAAATGCCTATTAATACCTAAAACATGCCCTTGACCAATTAGATGAGGATTTGTATTCGTTATCACTTTTGCGATTTTAAAGAAAAGGATAAATATTCATCATTAAATTTTATTAAATTTTAAAAGAAAGAAATGATATAAAAATAAAATAATACAAACGAAAATGTTTGTTCAACTGCATATTTTCTTAAATCAATCAATTTTAATGTATTGTCTTTGGAATTGGTCAGCACCTTTGAGCCATCTAAATATCAATCCATTAATAGATAAGCAAAATAGTTGCATGTAAATAAGTTTTATAAATGTTGTAAACATTAGAAATAAGAATTTATCTTATTTACCAGGAGAAACTGAGACAGATGTGATTTGTCCCATATGAATATCGGTTATTTCTTTAATATCTTTACCAGACCTTGAATCCCAAAATCTTAAATTGTTATCCATATGACCGCTTACAAGTGTCGTACTATTATTAAAAAATATAAATTATTATTCAACAAGAATAACAACATTATTATTATTATTATCATTATTATTACCCTGTACCATCCAATAATGCTACATCGTTACAACTAGAAAATGAGAATATTGTCCTGATACCTAATAATTTAATAAAAAAATAAGCATTTTTAAAAATTTCATAATAATAATAATAATTATTATTATTATTATTATTATTATTACTCTACTTACTATAACCCTTTTGTATATCCCAAATTTTTATAGTCCTATCATGACTGCCAGTAATCTATTAAATTTAAAATTTCAATATGAATGAATATATAGTAGTTTTCAATAAATCAGATCAACAGATCAATAATTAATTACTTGCCACTCTTGTTGAATCACAATTGAATTTGGCAGAATACACTTTACCAATGTGCCCAGTTAAAGTGAGCTGAATAAATAATAGATGATCGTAGTAAATAATCATAGATTTGAAATAATTATATATGTGTGTGTCTGCGTGTGCGTATACTTACTCTGGTCCTACCAGTTCTTAATAGCCATAATCTTGCTGAATTATCGTTTGACGCTCCAACAATCATTTCAGATGTATCATTAAATGAAACAGATGTAACGGATTGTGCAGACCCTGTTAGAGTTTGCCTGACGTTGCCTTTGTAAAATTAATATAAGGATATATTTTTTAGATTAAAATACAACGAATATGATGTTAATATAAATCATAAAACATATTATTATTATTATTTCTAACCAGTGGTAATATCATATACTTTTATTGTTTTGTCTGCACTTCCGGTTGCAAACAGTTTTCCATTTGGAGATGCTTGGATAGAATAAATTTCTCCATCATGAGCTTTCTATATATAGATATAGAGATATGTTTAATTTAATTCAATCAATAATAAATATTAGATATAAATATAAATATACGTACGAATTTTTTAAAAACAGTCATAGGTACTGTTATAGAACCAGTAGCTTTTCCTTTTGTTCTTTAAATCCACACACCGAAATAAAAATCAAATTATTTAATAACTATCATTTACTGTAATATATATATATATATGAACATTAAAATCAAAATACCTTTGAGAATTGTCTTCATTTTCAACTAATTTTCCAGATTTCGATACAGGATTATTGCTAAAATAATCTTTTTCAATTACGACAATATCATTTGGTAATTCTAAATCTTTAGATTGTGCTTCGGCTATTATACTATTAAGAAATGAGAAAATAGTCTTAAAATTAACAAATAGTTATTATTAATAAAATCTCTCAAAAATAAGACTAAATATTTATAGTTGTAGTTTTTTTTCATCATATTAAAATATTTATTTATTCATGTGTTAATTACGTTTCATAAAAAGAGTTTGCTTTATTCATTACTTCAGCTTCTTCATTCATCTTTTTCAACCAACGTTGCAATAATTGACTATTTTCATTTTCCAGACTTCTCATTCGTTCGTCAACTTTGTTTAATTCTAATTGTAATGCTGCTAATTCATCATGCAAAACCTATTCATCATTTAATTTAGTATAAAGTAAATGTAATCGAATTAATCAATTGATTAATTCGATCGAGTAAAATTTTCATTTTCTTATATACCACATACTTGAATTAATAAATCCTTCTCACGAGTAACTTGTACATAATCTTCAACCTTAACATTTAACACTTGATTTAGGTCGGTTAATGTTTGTACTCTATGAAAGCGAAAGATTACATTAATCAATAAAAATGAACTATAATTATAATAATAAATGAAAATGTTTTACTTACTCTTCTTGATATTTTTTTACAGCTTCTTCGTTAGATTGTAATCTATCGTTCATAGTTAATAATCTTTGAGCATTTTGTGCTTGAGTTTTATAATTTTCTGATCTTTCATCTTTTAACTGTTGAATTTCTAATTCTAATTCCGCAGTCTTTTTTTGATTTAATGGGCTCCTATATAATATAACTTAACGAATTTAATATCTATCTATTTACTGATATATATCTAGAGATAATAAATATATTACCCATCATGCTTTAATATTTCAAGTTCTTTTGACAAGACTGTAAATTTTTCAGCTGTTGCTTTCTCTGAACTTTCCAATTCAGAATTCCTGTCTGCAAACTTTCCAAGTTTTTGTACAAGAGCATTATCTATCATAATTATAAGGCAGCTTAAAGATTAATATATATGTGTGTTCATGATCGTAATTTTGTTTGATTTTTAAAAACAACTTACAAGACTCAACAAAATCGGTAAAGGCCTTTTCTCTTCTGTCTCTCACCAATAGTTTAACCAACAAATCACCCTGCCACTTTCCTGCAGGTACGTTATTTGTGCCATTAATATTGTTGGAGAGATTTTGAGGAGATAAAGCAGACATTTTTTATTTTAAAAATTCAGAGATATTAAATGACGCAGCAAAAAAAAACACCACAAAATTAATTATCCGAGTACGGATTTTTCTATTAATTTTTTAATCATTTCCTTGCAGAAGAAACTGTGCCCTAAATTTGTTGAAAATAATAGCTTAATAATCTTGATATAATTTTTCCGCTTCGCCTTTATTAAGCACAAAGAGGTCACTAAAGTCAATGATGACGAATTAAAAATCTTTTATTTAGTAAATTGGCACAGTCAATAATTAATTATGAAAGCTTATTTAGTAAAATTCTATTACTCTTTTTGTGAACAATTCATCCTCACTTGCTGAATTAAAGTATAAAACGGATTCAATCGCAAAAAAAAATTTGTTAAAAAAAAAAAAATCAAACTTTTAAAAAATTCAAATCTTTAAAAAATCAAATTAAAAGAAAAAATTAAAAAGATTAAAATGGGACAGTTTACTATCACTATTAATAATAATATGAATAAAAACAACAATAACAATAATTCTTTAATTTATACGGCAGCCTATATAAGTTTACAAAATCACATTAACAATGATGACGACGAAATCCAAAAAAAATTCGAAAATTACGAAGATAATTATTATCATCGTCATCATCATCGCCATCACCATCGCCAACTACAACGCGATATGAGGATGTTACCTAATAATAATGCTAATACTGGTATTAGTTCTAATTCTAATTCTAATTCTAACTCCAATACTACTACTGTTCCAAAGCTCGTCCGTGATCGCCGTACTCGTCGTAATAATCATCATGGAAAACAAAAATTTGAAAATGATGATGATGACGAAAACAATAATGATGGTGAAATAGAAAATCTTGAAGATCCTGACGAAATATTTGATGTTTACGATGACGATGAAGAATATGACGACGATTTCGATGAAGAATATGAAGAATATAATAATAATATTTCAGTAGATAATTACAATAATATTAATTATTTTTATGATGATTATATTTCCGTTAATAATATTTTTGATGCAACAACAACAAATAATAATAATAATAATAATAATAATAATAATAATAAATAATAATAATAATAATAAATAAATAATAGTTTAGTTAAAAACATTTGTAATTAATTTTTTTATTCTTTATAGAACATTTTTTTTTATTTTTATTCTATACTAAATTTATTTATTTATCTTAGACATCAACATTTTTCACGTTTCCATTTTCATCTTCGCCTTTATAATCATTTCCACCATCTTCATTTTCATTTCCATCTCCGCCTTCGGCACTATAATTACCCTCCCACTTATTTATCGAATTTCCAGTATATTTAACAATTGTTTTCTTGAAATTTTTGTACGGAAAAATTGACTGATCCCTAACATATACACCATTCCGATCAATCGCCCAAACATTTAATTTTGGAATATTTTCTTCCTCTTTTTCTCCTGATTTAACAATATTATTATAATTGTCGTGCTGTATCTGATGTCGTTGTTGATAATGACTTTGAAACTCGATAGAAGCCCATCCGACACCTGAAAACACAATGTCCTTAAAAATTACCCCCGTTGTATTATTTTTTCCGACACTAAACTTATTAATGCACTTTACTAATTTAGGCCATGATTTGATTCTATCCGATGATGTTGATGATGATCCAATTGGCGGTTTTAATATTGTTTGTTTACCTTGCTCGCTCATTTCTTTAAAATATTCGAACGATCTGTCAATCGATGCAATATGAATCGGAATTCTACTAACTATTGTTAATTGAATTGGTTTTTCACTGCCCTCGACATAATCAATCTTACCAAATCCTCCAAACAGTAATGATCTTCCTGGATGAAGTGTATAAGTTAAAGGTTTTATTAATTTTTGTGGTGTCGTTAGCTTTAATTCATTCTCGTTCAGATAATTTATCAATTGATTGTTATTAACTATTCCTGGTGTATCATATAAATAATTCATTATCGACTTTGACGATTTTATTTTTCTTTGAAGATAATTTGAATCAACATCATCGTCGTCATCACCATCATCATTATCACTAGCTCTTTCAAATATTGATAAAGGTATTTTCAACATATTGATAGTTGTGCCAGGTATAAATGAAGATGTTAGTTTATACTTTTCATATATCTCTTTATTATCATCGCCATCGCCATTTCCTTTTTCTGGATATTTGCCTTGTGCAATTCTTCTCAAAAAACTATTAATCAACTCAGATTTTCCTACATTCGTATAACCAACCAAATAAACATTACTGTTGATGTATCTCAAGCTTGAAACATACTCGAACAGTCGCTTAACTCCAACATTTTTCTTGGCGCTAATTAAATAAATATCTTCAAGGTTTCTTAATCCCATTTTGGAACATTGTGATCTTATCCATCTCATCAAGTAACTTCGTCCTGTTGTTAGCAGTGATGATGTGGAAGGCAATAAATCTATTTTATTAGCTATCAAAACAGTTTGATTGCTTCTACCAATCAGATTATCTAAATCTTTTATTAAACTATTTGGAAAATCAAAAATGTCTATTACGATTAGTACTATTTCATTATTATGATTTCTCAGGAATCTTAGTGATCTCTCGTTAGTTTGAGCTTGACTAAATGTTGCCAGTGACGATAATGATGTTTTCATTTTCCTCGACTCTTCATCATCCTTGTTTAAGTCTATCATAGATCTGTTATAATGTCTAAGATTTATACAACGTTGACAAATCAAACTTCCTTCCTTTTCTTTTTCTTTCTTTTCATCTCTTTTAGAATTATTATTTATTCCCATTGGATACAATTGTTTTATAGTATCTTCATCCATCATACTAATCAAACTATTCAAATCATCTTTATCCAAACTTTTTTTTGGTTTATCAATATCATCAACGTCATCTTTTAATGTTAATGATGGTGATAATGATTTTTCATTTTTACTCTTGATTTGATAATATCCTGGTTTTGATGGATCTGTTGTTTGGAAGTATGCTCCACATCCTGGACACTGATTTTGATTTATTTGAAATTTTTTCTTTTTAATGTTGTTATTATTATGAAATCTTTTGATATGGAAATTATAATGATTATTATTTTTAATTGATAAAAATTTTATTGTATTACGAATATCGTTATTGTTATTGTTATTATTGTTATTATTATGAAAAATTCTTTTTTTATTATCGAATAATGAATTTTTTGTTCTTTTAAAAAATATTCCACCAAATCTAATCATTCTTTAAAAAGATATTTTTTTTATCACGACGATCATAATCACATGATAATCCAATTTTTATTGAAAAGTAAAAAAAAATATATATATATATATGTTAAGTTAAAATGACTACCCTCATATTGACGTGTGTGAACTCGATAGAAGGACGGAAATTTTCTCGCTTATTTATTGATTGTTTGATTTGGAATTGTTTAATATATTTTTTTTTATAATAAATGATATTTAATGAAAACTATAGTAATAGGTAGAAACAATTCTGCACAACGGAATTTTTTTGATCCATAAAACTATGGTGGATATTAATATTTCATCACTATTACTATAGCCGTTACTAAACAAATCAATTAATAACACAGTTCCACAAATCTTTTATAATAATTATGATTGCAAAAAGAGTCGAAATCAAAAAAAATTAAAAAAATTACGCAAAAAAAAAAGAAATCGTAATAATAATGGTTCTTTTACAAAAAAAAGGGGTAAAATATCTTCGTTCCTGATGTAAGTTCTATTATTAATTAAAACTTCGACTCAATTCATTGTATTTGTTCTTAGAGAATCATTGTCGTCACGTTAGTTGATTCGGATCCGTGTAACCAATCAGTTTTTATTAAATTCACATATTTTATTATATCATTAATGAATCAATCCTTTTTTTCGTTGTAAAGCTATAGTTATCAAAAACAGCATCGTTTTTCACTCCAAAACTAATATTTATTTCTATAAACTTGATGAGTGGTTGAGAAGATGTAAATATTATAAGCTTTCAAATTGTATGGCTTTATGTGAATTGTTGTTTATTAAAGTTCAGAGAAAAAACGGAAAAAAAATAATTGCACAAATAGGAAGAGTGAAATTAAATTTAGAAAAATCAAACTGAAAAAATCACCATATTTGTATCATATAAACTAATTAGTCTTCGTAAATCATTACCTAAACAGAAGAAATTCACCAATCAGCTTTCGATATTCGCGTTAATATGGATGCGACTGTGTCACGTTACATACCAGATATTTCTCCTTTAGTGTAGTAATATAAAACTTCAACCATTTTTTAATTTGTTTAGACTCTATTGGCAGATACTGATGGTTGACTTGCTTTCGCTTTCATCATTATAGAGTGATACGCTTTTTACCGTCAGACAAACAGATAATTATTCAAAATCATTCAAGTTCAATCTTCACTACAAAAAGTCAAAGAAAATTTGCAAAATTCCAACTCATCTAAACTTACTCTTTCTCAATGATCATATTTTCACTCTTGCATTAAATAATATTATTTTTATCATGTATTAGTTGGATTTTGGTTTAAATTTCATCAGGAAAGCTAGTAGCAAATATTCTACACTGTAGGTTTTAACATATAATAAGAATATAGTTAATGTTATTGAAAAATATATGCAAGTTTATATTTATATCACTCTACAATTGTAGTATATGCTTTTTTTAAAGAATTTTTTTTCTTTATATTTATTGAAATCGTGAAACTTTAAAACTGTTAATATTAACAATACATTACACAATGGTGCGTGAGCAATTTGTATCACAGAATAATTTTGCATAAAAAAAAAATAAATAATAAATAAAATCATTAACCAACCAACAACCAACAACCAAACAACAACAAAAAAAAAATATATATATTAAAGTCGCGTATTTTTAAAATTTTTTTTTTGGGTCGTTCTTCCTTTTTGATCATTACACTTTTACCATATAACATCTTGAAAGTAAAAAAAAATGTCTGAAAATATTCATCTATCAGGCGAAGAAGTTGAAGATTTTAAAGAACAAGATCGTTTTCTTCCAATAGCAAATGTAGCACGTATAATGAAAAAAGCTTTACCAGACAATGCCAAAATTGCAAAAGAGGCCAAAGAATGTGTTCAAGAATGTGTTTCAGAATTCATTTCCTTCATAACGAGCGAATATCCTTTTTATTTATTTTATAAATGAAAATTTTGTATATTGAATGTGTATATATGATATAGCATCGATTATTAGATTTACATTATTGCATTTTTATTTATTTTTAAACAGCAAGTGATCGTTGTCAACAAGAAAAAAGAAAGACAATTAATGGAGAAGATATTTTATGGGCTATGCAATCTCTGGGTTTTGAAAATTATGCTGAGGCTCTGAAGATTTATTTGGCAAAATATAGAGAAGTAGGTTTTAAATATATTATTATATATATATTATTATTATAATATTAAGATTGTATTTTAAGTGCTAATATATATAATATATATATATCCATTGTTTTGGTTGATGAAGACGACAAAAATTGAAAGATCTTCAACTACAAAAGAAAAGGATGAATCAACAGATGATTATAATCAGAAACAATTTTTTAATGGTAAATTTACTTGTTTCATCATCATCACCATTATTTATGAAGCCCCTGAGAATAATAATAATAATAATAATAATAATAATAATAATAATAATAATAATAATAATAATAATAATAATAATAATTGATTTTCTTTCTTTAGTACAAGATAATTTTCTTCAAGAAGACAACCACCAAAGCTAAACAATTAGAAAAAATATATTATTATTATTAATTATATACAACATATAACATTATTAATTAATATATGAAATTTAAAACTATTTAATTTTTTCAATTTTTTTTTAGAATAAAAATATTTTTTTTTGCAGGGCAGGGAAAAAAAAATTTTATTTATTTATTTATTTACTTATTTATTTATAATAATGATTATTAGTATTAAATAATAATTAATTTAATTAATTTAAATAAACATTACTATTCTTCATTAAATAATCCCATGATTAATTATTAGATCTAAGATACAACAACAAATTACTAACCAAACTTTCTTTTCTTTTCCTCTTCAAATTCCCATTATTTCGCATCCTCGTAATTTCTTTCCTCTTTAACTTCACTTAATCTTTTCTCAACTCTTCTCTTCCTTCATTTTCTACGTTTTTTATATTATTATTTTTTGTTCAACTTTATAAAAAAATTAAAATGTTTTATAGTTTTGGTAATAATAAAAATAAATTAGAAATCAATATAATCCAGTAGAACATGTGCTGTGAAATATATTTTTAAATTCATTCAATATTGAATGGTCCTCTAATAAGAAAGTGAAAATGCACCAACAAGAAACAATGTCCACAGTATTATTGTGTCCATTAATTTTGTATCTATACGAGTCATTAATATTAATTGTTTTTTAAAAGATTTCTTCGTTCCCACTACTAAATCTAAGTTGCTATCACTCGTTGTAAACATTCTATCAAATATGGTTTACCCAAAGAAATTTACTGCAAAATAGCAAAGTATGGAAGCCAGTTTCTGCACCAGTGTTTCATTTCCATATATTACCACCATAGTCCAAAACCATACATTCTTTATTCTTTATTAAATTTATTAAATACATAATCTTTTGGTCGAAAATATGTTATTTGTAATCTTGATATTAGTCCAAAGAATATTCAAATTTTCCGAAACAAAAATTTGTTTTTCTTTGTATACTGTAATTTTTTCGACTGAGGGTATATTACTCTAGAATTCACAATTCTTGATTGCCTATGGCAAGTTATTCTCCTCATATGCGTTGATTGTTCGAACCCCAAAATTCAGTACGGTGTGATCATAACGTTATGAATACTTTATACTAGCAAGAACCCATTGGTTTTGAGGTGGTTTGACGGGCTTTTGAATAGCAATATAGTTTTTTTAGCGGAGTAAATAAATTTTTTTTAGGGTCAATTATCATTCTACTGACCAATTTACACATTAAAGATACTCGTATTCAACGTCGAGACACAATAGGATATAAGGTTTGAAAAAAGGGACCAAAAAACCAAATCGGCTGATATGTTATGATACAATTTAAAATTTTAACAACCATTGATACAGATGTGAAAACAAATTTTTTTTACGTGAATTGGGACTTACTCCTGCCATAGTCCTAACAGCTCCTTTATGTTTTGTTCACGCAGACAAATTTTTCTATATATTCAACAGATCAAACAAAAAAAAGTATGCTCTTTTGTCATTACATACTGAGAAAATGCAAAGTCTTAAAATAATAACCCAACTTACCCAATCAGTAACACTTTTACATGCCCACCATGAAACATCTCATATCCCCTCCGCCCTTACCATTGTCATCCCCCGTAGATTAGTGAACACTGTGTTTTGTACCGGAATGACGTGTAGAACTTGGATAGAGAATGATACCATCAACAAATAGCTGTTAATGATGACTTTATATAATGTGATGGTGTATCAAATACACCAATAATTTTCGATGGTACAAACTCAACAGACCAATATTGGGATCATTTGTATCCTTACGACAGCTTCAGAAGCAAAAGGTTCGTGGTTCGCGTCAAGGATATGCCTGTTTCAAAACTCATGGTAGTATATATGATAACATCGATTGCTCCCATGAAGAGCTTTGACTCCTTGGTGCCCTGTCTTTATTTACTTATCTTTTAGTTATTTCAATTTTACAATCGAAACTTTGCCAGATGGTGATAGTTTATCAATTCGTTTATTTATGTTTTTTATTCACGCTAGTAATTCGTGTGATTTTTTTATTTCACACTTAACTCAAAAAGACTTGAACCATTGTCTTCAATACTTTTATGATTACTGATCTTTTCCCAAAAAGAAAATTGTATAATCATGAAAGCTTTATACAGTCACGGAGGATGAACGAAACACATAATAATATGAAAATTTTATTCAAAATCCGTTGTATCGAGATTATAATTATAATTAGTAATCTTGCCAACGGATTTTTATATGTTTTATATTAATATTAATATGTGAAGCAAAAATTTTAAAAATCTGTTGTGACAAGAATTTAATTATAATTATAGTACATATGTAAACTCGATAAGTCGGTCTCGCGATAAGTCGGCCAAAATTTTCACCCCTTTTTCTTAATATTTAAGTAATTCAATTCGACAAGTCGGTTTACTCGATAAGTCGGTCATATGAGCTCACCCCACATGACCTACTTATCGAGTTTATATATGTAGTCGGTTGTGACAAGATTTGGCTGTATTATGTAATACAATAACTAAGAAAATCAAGTTCCGTTTGAAACTATCCTATATAAACTCATAAATAATAGTATGGCTTCTTTAAATAAACTAATAAACTTGATCTTTTTAAAAGTTAACAATAATCAATAATAAAAAGGAACTTCAAGATGTATGCATGTAATGAGAATTTTACTAATATTATGAAGATCTGCGCCACAAAATACCTCAATTATGATTAACCCTCTTGCTGACATATAATTTAATTATGTTGATCATTGTAGTAAAACACAAGTAATTTTAACAGGAAATATAAATAAAATAAAATGAAAAAACAACTTTATGAACAATCATCACAGTTTCGTAACTGGTGTTTTTCCAAATCTAAACTTCAAGAAACACGCGAAAAAAATCATGCGTCATCTGTTGAAAAAGTAAAAAAAAAATTGGCAGAAGAATTGGTAAAAATATATAATCATTATTATATATATAAGCATTGTATAATATAATGATCATTATTTTTATTTTTATAGTGAGTGCTTATAGTCATAATCATCATAATTATTAATATAGGAATTAAGAAAACAAGCATTGGAGACTACAAATTTAGAGCAGGAGAGAGTCAATTCACCCAGTTTATCACCACCATCAGAAACTGATTTTTTAACATTGGAAGATGAAATTGCTTTATGTGATTTTTTCCAACACCAAATATTTTTTGTGCCAAAGCAATTTTCAGAAGAAATATGTAATAATAAATTTACTGATAAAGTAAAGGTAATGATGAAGATTTGACAATCTATTTGTACTTATACATTTATTTATTAACTTTGTTATATTATGTATATATATAGGCCACAGCTATAACTTTTGCCAAAAGATTTTATTTAAGAAATACTGTGATGGATTATCATCCTAAAGATGTTATGTATGTATTTATACTTTTATTTATTTTATTTTAACATTTATATATAAACTTCTAATACATATATATTATATACAAGAAGTATAACTTGTTTATTTCTTGCTGCTAAATCTGAAAATTCATTTGTTCCAATTGAAGATTTTATTAAATTTCTTTCTAATGCCAAAATCACCAAAGAAAGTGTTTTTGAACTTGAACTAATTATATCAAGAAGTCTAAGATATGAATATATGATTCATCATCCATATTTACCAGCATTTGGATTTTTCTTGGATTTACAAGTAAATAATAATAACAATTTTAGTATAATTATAAATACTTATAGATTAATTTTTTTTTATAAAATAATATTAATGATTGGTTGATTGTGGTTGATTAAAAGTTATATTCTAAGGATTCTAAAAAAATACAACAAATCTATGAGAAATCTAAAGAATATATTAACACATCACTTTTTACTGACGCAATGTTCATCTATCAACCATCACAAATTGCATTATCAACAATTAGAATTGCATCAAAATTTTATAATTTTGATATTGAAGTGTATTTAATTAACAACATTATATTAATCATATATATAATATAAAATAACAATATTATTAATATTTTATATTTTATATATTTTTAATAGATATTTAAAATTAAAATTTAATTCTGATCCAGCTGATAAAGTTGAAAATCTTTACAAAATACTTGATGAGATTGAGTTAATTATTAAAAATTATGAACCAGTTTTAGTTGATAGAGCAAGAGAAGTTGATGCAAGATTAAGAAAATGTAAAAATCCTGAAAAAAATCCAAATAGTGAAATGTAAGTTAATTCATAATAATATTGTGTTCATATGTATACATATATATATATATATATAATAATATTTTATTAAATCGGGAAAAATAAAAAGATTTAAGAAAAGAAAATCAGAGAGAGAAGAACTTGAAGAAGCAGAGCGGCATAAAAAAAAGAGATCAGATGATGAATATCAAAATACATTAAAAGCTGTATTTGATTAAACAAAAACTTTTATACAAAAATTCTATTCATTAATACTTTATATAATACTAATATTTTTAATGAATAATTTGAACATTTAGTTATATTTATACTATCTTTAGATAGTAGTAGATGATTGAAAATATATTTTATCTCATCATTCATTCATTCCTCACACTACCAATCACATTATCCAAATCTACTTCAGAGTTATATAAATTTGATTTTATTAAAATAAAATTATTATTTAGGGCATACTACAACAAAGCTTACATTTGTGCCAGTTTTTTACATCTTGTATTTTTGCTTTTACACATAATACATATGCAACTTTGCATTTAGTATTAATCAACTGATTAGTTTTAAAAAAGAGATTATGGTCAAATGATCCAGAAAGAGTCATTACACAACCATTAATCAGTAGAAAATATTATGGGCATTTTCAAAAAGTTATAAATTGATACAATGATTATTGCTTTAGAATGAATAACTTGATTTGTAAAATGTTGCCTACAAAGGAAAAGCAATGGATTATGTAATGAAAAAAAGGGATTGTAAATTTGTACAAAAGAACTTTAAATTACATATCATGATTAAAATGAAATAAACAAACATCACTTGGCCTTTTAATCCTTTTCTTGAATATGAATGCCTCTATATACTACAATATTTATGATAACAAACAATTGCATTACCAGACTGTGCAAAAATGAAAACTTTAAGGAGCCATATAAAAATCAGCTGATAAATTTTTCTGATATATAAAATTTTCTCTAAGCATATCACTTTCTAACATGAAAATGATCTCTGAGATATAGCCGATCGGTCTGTAAAAAAATTTCGTGTGGTTTTGTGTAACTTTCTTTAAAAGTTGGGTCGATTGACTATTTTCACTTTGCTGATCGTTAAATTGACCAATAATAATGCGAGCACGTGATTTTGTGTTACCATTAAAGAATACTCTTACCACTAGGGCTGGAAAAAGTACTTTAAAAATTCGGATTTTCCTTTTAAAATTTTTAACTTCTGGAAAAAAAAAGAATTGCCGGATATTTTTTCTTTTTATTTTTTTTCTTGTACAGATTTTCCATATGCATAAAAAAAATTACCAAAATTTAATATATATATGCCATTACTATGGGGCTGTGCAATGAAATTATTTTTATATGCATGCATGTTTATTTGTGCGATTAACCAAATTTGATTAATTAGTATTCATGTACATTCATTTTCTTTGTAAGATAATTCTTGGCATAAAAAAACATTCTGCATTATATATACTCATTCTGTAGAACTGAAAGACAGTTTAAAAGGACAGTATATCAAATCTATTTACATTAATTGCTTATTAGTGGTTTGTATTTCAATCTCTAACATTTTTTTAACATAAAAAACTATATTTTTATTCAAATTCTTAAGTCATGGAAAACTTTTTATTAAATTTCATCCCAGTATCGGCCATTACAGTTGTATCTGCCTTATATAAATGTGTGGAGTTGGATGGATGGACTGTGATCATGAACAAATGATACAAAAATTCATAGCAATATCAGAAAATGCATTGAGAAAGATTCCTAATATTGATAATGAACATTTAGAGAGACATCAAAGTTTTGGATCTGGTGAGAGTTTGAAACAGCAAGTAAGTTAAGATATTTTTCTGGAACACATTGGCAGATATGATGAGTTGTTATTTTTAGGTTTCCTGAAATGGACTATACTGATTGGAGTGCAATGGTGGTATACATTCTAGTGAATGGGCTAATGTCCATTGTGGTAGTAATACCACTTTCCACATGGCAGTAGCTAGTTGTATACACTTACACCTTGGACCACTTTCATTATAGTTAAACTTTCTTCCGGTACTTTGATGGCTTATATGAAAATGGAAACCTAATCTGATCCACGCAATTTTATTTTAGTGAATTTTATTATTTACAATGTTTAATAACTAGTTTTAACCATACTTTAGATTGGAGGTGCTTTTGATGATTTATGTTCTCTTATGGAGGTGAATGCTCTAGCAATTGATGTGGTGGATTGGTATGAAGAAGCAAATGAAAATATACATTCCCTGAAACATGATTAGTGATGGGTGGGTTTATAACAACCTAGTTTATACCCTGTTATATACCTGTTATATACCATGTTATATACCATTACTGCTTTTATACCACACTTATACCATGGTTACTTTACCAAAACCACTATTTTGGCAAGCATTTAAAAATGAAGAAATTGACAATGACTTGAATTTCAATTATAATGACTATAATTATGATGGTGAAAATTATGATGATGATAATGATTTTGATGAATTTATTAATTTAGAAGATAGTAGTAACAATCAAGAATTCTATGAAGATGTATAACATAAGTTTATTGCAATTAGTATTTCTTATAAATAAATATTCAAACCAAAATTGTTATCTTATTACATATTAGTGGTATATACCCCTCAAATCGTTTATAACATGTTATATACCATCCCTAAACATGATATTGGATAGTGTAAAAAAGAGAGTGCTGGTCACAGTTTTTTTAATTAATTCATCAAGATCTTTTTTTTTATAAGGATAATTTTTTTTTGGTGCAAATGATGACATGAAGTTATTTTCAGATTTGCAATGATCAATAAATAATGCATCACACCTGAGAGACCTGGCTGTGTTCACTTTTGCATTTGTGTGTCTTCGAACCAAACTATGGAAATTTTCTACACAATATTCATCCAACTTATTTAAATTATTCTTCAATGTATCCATTATAGGATGTTTGATCTGTTTCCAGTATTGGATGTCTGACAAAAATGCAAGGATAATTTTATCATAATTGTGTCTCTGGAAACATTTCATAATACACCAAAGATGAAATACTGCACTGATATATTCATCAAGATGATTCCCTCAGAATAAGGTTGTGTAGACATCAAGAGTTACAGGGACCAAATTGTCTAACAGATCTAAGAATATTAAATATCCTGTTTTTTTTTGAATTTTTAAATCTTCTCATTACAAAACATTTAACAATTTGCCATCCTCCATGTGCAAGATATAACAAAAGGTTCACTATCCATGGCTTTGGTTTTGCAGCTAGCTTTTTTTTCTTCCCAAATACTGTTCTATACATTGAATCAAAAAAGCCCCAAAATGTCAAAAAGACTGATTCATGTATATTAAGTGAAAGGTGCAATGTGCCTAAAAATGACAGTATATGAAGAATTTCCTTTGGGATGCTGGTATTATCAATTGAATTAAGTCTTTTTACAACTGCTCTCCTTAAGTACAGCTGTCCAGGATAATCAGCAGGGATGAATAGCATATTATCACTCAAGTAATTTTTCACTTCAGGTAATCTTAATAAAACTC